AGCAATGACCTCTGGACAACAGTCCAACATGCTAGCATTTTCCTTAATTCTATATTGTTTATCAAATTACCAGTGGTTCAAATAATGAATAAGAATGCAAACCAAATGTTTGTCCAAAAATTTTGCAAGTTTCTTTCACAAAAAAATAAGGAGGGATTCATATGTAAGACTGCCTATAGGGCAGAGAAAGCATGCATTTTTCACGCCTTTCTCTAAGAAAGAGAATGAGAGCAACAGTATTCATAAAAGCATTAAAGTACTACAGTATTCTAACTGAATGGCAGCTGAATACCAAAAAAAAACTAATGGAACTGTTACCACAATAAAAGGGGAGGATGATCAGTTTTAAAAACCTCATCTCCAGTCTCGCCCCTGAAGACACAGCCCCCAGTTCTACCAAAAACACACACTTCCATGAAAAGGTCATTTTTTGGACAACTTGGGCAATGTGTTTTAGGCTAATATTTCTATAGCAGAGATCTAGAAAGAAAGGAGGCTGTGATTCACAAGTTTTTGCTCTAAGTTTAGGCCTGCAGGGCACTGCTAGTGACAACTGGTTTTTTGACTGTGTGTACTTTTACCAATAAGGCCAGAGGATTACAAAGACAAACTGTCTCTTCTGTTCATCTAGGTATCTATTTGGAAAAATATCATGGGATCAGCTGTTGAAAATATCAAAGTCAAAACCAGAATATGTTTCTACGTACTCCAGAAAACAATGACCAGGTCTCATAAAATCACGACACTTCCAAACTCTAAGAATGAAAAGTGCAAGAACAAGTGTTAGTTTTAAGAGTCAGAGAGTAGGCCAATTTCTACAACATCTCCTTTACAAAGGACTTAATCAATGATTACAGACTCTCTTAAGTCCTAGAAAATCTGAGGAAGATTCATCGCTAATATGCCTTGGCTACAGCAAAAAAAACTTTGTTCACAAAAGTTTTAAATACTTCTAAAGAGAAGGGCCAGAAGGAGGCTCCGGGGAACTACAGGCCTGTCAGTCTGACCTCGGTGCCGGGAAAGGTTATGGAACAGATCATCCTGAGTGCCACCATGCGGCACGTACAGGACAACGAGGAGATCAGGCCCAGTCAGCATGGGTTTATGAAAGGCAGGTCCTGCTTGACCAACCTGATCTCCTTCTATGACAAGGTGACCCGCTTAGTGGATGAGGGAAAGGCTGTGGATGTGGCCTACATAGACTTTAGTAAAGCCTTTGACATAGTTTCCCACAGCATTCTCCTGGAGAAACTGGCTGCCCATGGCTTGGACAGGTGTCCTCTTCTCTGGGTAAAAAACTGGCTGGATGGCCAGGCCCAAAGGTTTGTGGTGAAGAGATTTAAATCCAGTTGGCAGCCGGTCACAAGTGGTGTTCCCCAGGGCTCAGTACTGGGGCCAGTTCTGTTCAATATCTTTATCAATGATCTGGAC